GGATAACTCTTTGTTCCACTTGGACACTCTCCTATAATAACTCCTTGGTTTTAGGAAACCCTTCCTACTTTCACTCCTACACTTTAGGGAACCACTCCTACATTTTAGGAAACTAGGGTTCTCTTCTTCCTTTTGTTCACATTTGGCATTTCCCCTTGCTGTCCGCCACCATAATCCGTCCCAAACTACCCATTTCTACGCCACTTTTTCCCTCCATCTCGTGTCTTAATTCGTGGTTACTCTTGTGGATACGTTGGTGACAACTCGTTGGACTTGAGCAACATTTCTCAACTACCCAATCCAACAGGTAAAGGTACTTGGTAAGTCTAATAGAGTGTTTTGAGTGCTATACCCGAGCGTGAGTGATACACTAAGGGAGTGAAGTGAGGATATAATTGCACTATTTTTTCTTGTTACTAACCTTTTGCAGGGCATCAAGAGAGACATGGAGCAACAACAACCACCCACTACTGACTATTCATTGATGTTCACCGCCATGAAGCATGAACTCAAGCGCATTAGTGAGCAACAAATGGAGGAGTTGCACACCCGGTTTGATGAACTCTCCAAGAGTCTCACGCGAGGCTCTCGTTCTAGATCACACAACCGGAGTAGCCATGGCACCAAAGGGGCACATAGCGAGGACTACTCCGCTAGTGAGGATGAGAATCGACCCGAGAAGCCTAGAAGGGACACGTCTACGAACGCACTAAAAGGACTTAAGATTCAAGTACCCGCGTTCAAAGGCAAGAGTGATCCGGAAGCTTACTTGGAATGGGAAGGCCGCATCGAGATGGTCTTCGACTTTTACGATTATAGTGAGGAACAAAAGGTGAAAGTTGCCATCGTTGAGTTCACCGACTACGCCTTAGTCTGGTAGGACCAAGTGAGGATCCAAAGGAGGAGAATGGGAGAACCACGAGTCCGGACTTGGCACGAACTCAAGGCCTTGATGCGTAAGAGATTCGTTCCAAGATATTACAACCGCGATCTCCATGCCAAACTTCAAACCCTCACTCAAGGTAACATGAGTGTGGAGGATTACTACAAGGAGATCGAGATGGACATGATGATGGCGAACCTTCAAGAAGATAATGAAGCGCCCATGGTTAGGTTTCTTAGAGGTCTCAACCCTGACCTTCAAGAAGCCTTGGAGCTCCAACATTATTTGGACATGTACGACCTTCTTGAACTCGCTATTAAGGCTGAAAGGGGAAAGAAATTAAGACGAGGAGCACGTACTTTCCAATCTTCCAACTCGTCTTCATGGAGGGGCAACCAACCACGAAGAACGACCCACGAATCTGGGAATTCGGCCACACCGACTTCTTCTAGCCGAGCTCAAGGTAATGCTCCTAACCGAAATTTCTATTCTACCCCTAACAAGGTTGCTGATGCATCCAGGTCCACCTCGAAGGCACCACATGAGACTCCTAAGACTAAGAGTAGGGACATTAAGTGCTTCAAGTGCCAAGGGTTTGGACATATACAATCCCAATATCCAAACCAACGAGTCATGTTAATCACTCACAACGGTGAAATCGTGTCTGATGACGACGATTGTGAGGAAGTACCCGAGTTGCACACCAGTAATTGCATAGAGGGTGACCCGGGTGATGAGGAATGCTCTCCTACACATGGAGAAATAGGCTGCTTGGTGGCACGACGAGTGCTAACCGCCCGAATTAAGGAGGATGAGCAACTACAACGGGAGAACTTATTTTACACCCGTTGTAAAGTAAGTGATAAGATCTGCAGTCTCATTATTGACGGTGGGAGTTGCACGAATGTGGCGAGCTTGCTTATGGTTGAGAGTCTAGGCCTTCCTACCACTAGACATCCACACCCGTACCGCCTGCAATGGCTAAGTGACGAAGGTGAGGTATGAGTCTACAAACAGGTACGTATTCCTTTCTCTATTGGCAATTACGTAGATGAGGTTGTGTGTGATGTTGTGCCTATGCATGCGACACATGTCATCCTAGGGAGACCTTGGCAATTTGACAAATCCGTCACGTTTGATGGTCGAGCAAACAAATACACTCTCTTGCACAATGGCAAACGCCTGGCCCTCACACCACTCACACATGTCCAAGTGTATGAGGACTAACTTAAGTTACAAAGAGAGTGTGAACAAAACCGCCAAAAGAAGAAACAAAGGGCGGCCGACCCTGGCAAATGCTCCACTTCTACAAGTGATCATTCGACCAAGGGTCAAGTGAGTACACCTGGTGACACGCATGATCATTCACCAGGTAAACCACCCACTAGGAAGCAAAACATGATCATTAAGGCTAAAAATGTTAGAAAAGTTATAAATTCTGATCAGCCTATTCTTCTCATGATTTACAAGCATGTGCTCTTAGATGTTGCTAAACTCGATAAGGCATTACCTTCGAGTATGGTTGCTCTTTTGCAGGAATTCGAGGATGTATTCCCTGATGAGATCCCTGATGGCCTACCACCCATTCGAGGGATTGAGTATCAGATAGACCTGATTCCTGGAGCACCCTTACCCAACAAACCGGCTTACTGTATGGGTCCTGAGGAGACCAAGGAGTTTCAGAGGCAAGTTGATGGCCTCTTAGGTAAGGGTTGGGTAAAAAAGAGTTTAAGTCCTTGTGTTGTGCCTGTGATACTTGTCCCCAAAAAGGATGGTACTTGGCGCATGTGCACTGAGTGTAGGGCTGTAAATGCTATCACTGTCAAATATCGTCATCCCATTCCTAGACTTGATGATATGCTTGATGAATTCGATGGTGCCATCATTTTCACCAAAATTGATTTAAGGAGTGGCTACCATCAAATTAGGATGAAAGAAGACGATTAGTGGAAAACGGCCTTCAAAACCAAACACGGTCTCTATGAGTGGCTAGTCATGCCTTTTGGATTGACTAATACCCCTAGCACCTTCATGCGACTAATGAACCATGTTTTGAGAAATTTTATTGGCAAATTTGTCATTGTTTACTTTGATGACATTCTTATATACAGCCGCAGTGAACATGAGCATTTGGAGCATGTGAGACTAGTTCTTGAGACATTTCGACAGGCGCGTCTATACGCTAACCTTAAGAAGTGCACCTTTTGTACTAATGAGTTTGTGTTTTTGAGCTATGTGGTAAGTTCACAGGGTATCAAAGTGAACGAGTCCAAAATTGAGGCCATCCAACAATGGCCAACTCCTACATCCGTCCCTAAGGTGCGTAGCTTTCTTGGGTTGGCAGGCTTCTATCGGCGTTTTGTCAAAGACTTTAGCACCATCGCCGCCCCATTGACCGCCGTGACCAAGAAAAATGACAAATTCCATTGGGGAGGATCCCAAAAACAAGCATTTCTTACCCTCAAAAGTAAACTCACACACGCACCTGTTTTAGCATTACCCAATTTCAACAAAACTTTTGACATCGAATGTGATGCTTCTGGTGTAGGGATTGGCACCGTCCTCATGCAAGACAAAAGGCCATGTGCCTTCTTTAACGAGAAACTGGGAGGAGTTGCCTTAAACTATCCCACGTACGACAAGGAGTTGTATGCACTGGTAAGGGCCTTGGAGACCTAGCAACACTATCTTCGCCCTCGGGAGTTCGTGATACACACCGATCATGAATCATTGAAGTATCTCAAAGGGCAACCTAAATTAAGTAAGAGGCACGCCAAATGGGTAAGTTTCGTTGACACCTTCTCCTATGTCATTAAGTACAAGACTGACAAGACAAATGTGGTAGCCGATGCATTATCACGTAGACATTGTTTGCTTGTCTTTCTTGATGCTAAGTTGTTAGGCTTCTAAATGATTAAGGAACTCTACACACATGATCATAACTTCGGTGATATATATGTTGCATGTGTTAAGAACCCGCATGGAAAATACTTTTTGCATGACGGATTTCTATTCTATGTGGATAAGCTGTGTGTGCCTAATTCTTCCGTTCGTGATCTTTTGGTTAGGGAGGCACATAGTGGTGGTCTCATGGGCCACTTTGGCATTGTTAAGACCCTAGCCATGCTACAAGAGCACTTTTACTGGCCTCATATGCATAGAGATGTTGAATGCATGGTTGATAGATGTGTCACTTGTCATAAGGCGAAATCTAAAACAAATTCATACGGCCTGTATACTCCATTACCTATCCCTCATTATCCTTGGGTAGACTTGTCTATGGACATTGTCTTCGGAGTGCCTAGATCACCAAGGGATAATGATTCCATCTTCGTCGTGGTTGATCGATTCTCTAAGATGGCTCATTTTATCCCTTGCCACAAAACTGACGATGCATCTCATATTGCTACTTTGTTCTTCAAAGAAATTGTCCGTCTACATGGCATGCCTAAAACCATTGTTAGTGATAGAGATGTAAAGTTCTTGAATTATTTTTGGAAGACTTTGTGGGCTAAACTGGGCACTAGATTGTTATTTTCCACCACCAGTCATCCACAAAGCGATGGACAAACTGAAGTTGCCAATCGCACACTTGGTACTCTACTTCGAGCCTTGATTAAAAAGAATCTTAAATCTTGGGAAGAGTGTTTGCCCTACGTAGAATTTGCCTACAATCGCACCGTTCATAGTGCTACACACTACTCACCTTTTGAGATTGTTTATGGCCTTAACCCCTTGACCCCTCTTGATTTGGTACCCTTACCTTCCTCTGAGCACACAAGCTTAGATGGGAAAAAAAATTTGTCGGAAACGATAGTTCATAGGAACAATCAATATTCACCATTTTCCTCTCCTAACTAATTTTGTTAATCATTTAAAAAAAAAAAACACATCCCCAGTACTTATCTCCAATCACTCAACATTAGAGCCTTCTCAGGCTCAACAACCGAGTATGAGAATTAGCAATAAACAACTAAAAACAAAATCTTGATAAGTCCTCAAATTTCAAATTAGATCTAATTGTCCAACCTTTTACCAATTAGCAAAACCAAAAGACTTAAACCGGTAATAAAATGCAAATCAATAGGCTGAAGAAAGAAGGAACATAGGAGGTGACCTGAACAGATTCAGCGTGATCACCTAAGCTCCGATACTCGGGATTGGTTTTGGATCCACCGGCATAGCCGACAGTCGTACGCACTACCCCATCCAAGCAGCCAAACACCGCCTCCGATCTCCAGAAGCTTCCTAGAGCAAAAACCGCTGTTTGCAGCTGTTGTTGATTGGCTGTGTCTGTAATTGAACCCTCCGATAACTGGGCGGAGAATCTGATGCCCACACATAGATCTGCTGCCAATACAATGATTATGGGTAAATAGCATGTAAGGCGCGTGGCCTCCTTCATTGGGCTGGGAGTTGAATCGTCGACGGCCAGGATAATCCGGTCGGGTCGCTGGAATTCTTTATAATGTTCGACGAAGTCGAGTCCGGTTTCTCCAAAATTCGGCTGGCTGTGATCGGGTCAATCCGATTTGATCCACAAGTCCATTATAAATATATTATCTCATTTTTCAATTTGTTGTGATTTCTCCAGTTAATGCACGAATTAATAATTCATGGTTTTCCAGTGGTATTTTTTTTTCCTTTCTCTTTTTTATGTTCAAGAGAAAATTACTAGTTACTTCACCCACCCAAAAAGTTGGGGAGAATGATATCTGCTTTCTGTCAAAAAGGATTTCTTAGGCTCCAGTTACGAATCACGACAGAAAGCCTATGCAAAACCCTAAACCCAAAGTCCAGCAGAAAGCTACCAAAAATTAATTAGCAGTAACTATATACCAGTAGATCCAACACAAAGTTTCGAAAAAAAATTTTAAAAAATCGTAAACAAACGTAAAAATAGAAATGCACAATAAATTCTAAGAATTATAGCAAAAAAAAAAAGATGCATACAAGAGATTGAAATTTGTGAGATTAAAAGTAAATAAATAAATAAAAGGCGAGAAGAGAGAGATAAAATGAAGTAACCTTACCGGATAAAGAGGTAGAGAAATATATCCTCGTCGTTGGCTGCCGCCGGAAGATGCTGCGTTGCGGTTCAGCTTGGAGAACTGTGTCTTCACCTAGCGGCGAGGACAGGGAAAGTTAATAATGTGGCCGCGTACAAGTGAGATCCGCTATATCAAGTTCCGGACCTCTATTTACGATTTGACCCACCCATGCTTCCTAATCCTAATGTTTTCCTAACTTTTGACTGCCTGGGGCCTTGGGCCTTGGACTTTTACTTGGTTAGAGACCATTACTAATTACTAGTTACTACTTAAGCATGGGTGGACTAGTTACTAGTTACTACTAATTACTAGTAACTAGTTACTAGTTACTACTTTTAACTGCCTGGGGCCTTGGGCCTTGGACTTTTAAACAATTTTTCAACTAGCCCGTTACACTGCCCAAATGCTTTTATTTTTATTCCTTTTTTTTTGGTTGGAAGTAGGGGTGCGCATCGAAATCGAAAGCGATAATTCGGAAGTTTGAAATAAAAAATTTTTGAAATTTTGGCTTCAGTTTTCCCGACCAAATTCGATTTCAAAATGGCTAATTCCAATTTCGAATTCGATACCGAATTGAATTCGGAATACGGTGGATTCCGAATTCCCCGAATTCTTTTTTTTTCCCGCCTCTATTTAAGAGGAGATTTGAAAGCCGTTCCTCCTCCAACCAAAACAGGTTGTTAACCAGAATCATTAACACCAATTTAATCCACGAACATGTCATGAACACATCTAATCATTATCTTCTATCTATTAAAGTTCAACCCTGCTGAGTGCTGAGCTTCAGAGATCTCAGAAAGAGCACAAACAAATGCCGATTGTAACTGAAAGTCATAGAACACCTTCAGCACATTCACATATTCCACGACTAATCAACTTAAAAATAGGCAAACACCCTAATTTACATTGTCATATATAAATTTAGAAACGGGCAAACTGTCTTTTGACAAATTTAATGTTCGCAGCCAGAAGCATGAACAGAAAACACATACAGTGCACAAAAATGTACAATGGCATCTGCCTGCTGGATGGTTTTCAAGATGTGCTTGGAAAACACATAAGTGAAAAACAGAAGTTGAAAAACAAAAGTTCAACACCTCTGTTGCACCTCTGTTGCTCCGTGTATGTCAGGGAGAAAAAGAAACAAAGAAATTAAAAAGGTCAAATAATACAATTTGTTAATTAACACTCAAAACCATTTTTTGTGCGTATTAGTACCCAAAGAACGCATTTAACTAAGAAAAAATAAGGATTGAGCATGCCATTGAAATTATTGATGAAAAATCACTGGCGTAAGAAACATAGCTGAAAAAGGTGAGTAAAAGCACTGGCGTACCTCAAATTGTCCGACAGTCTTGAATATGAAAGCTGATGGTGTCTGTCTCTGTCGGACTTGAAGAACTGGTGTTCAATTTCAGGTGTGATGCAAATCACGAGTGAAATCTCTGAGATGAAAGAGGCGATGGAAGCGGTGAGTAGGGGTGTCGGTGAGAGAGTAAACAGAGTCGGTGAAAGAGAGTGAGAGAGAGTAAGCTTCGTCGGTGACTCGGTGAGTCAAGCGGTGACGAAGACAGTGACGAAGAGGCGATGAAGGAAGAGGCGGCGCGGCGGAAGCTCAAGGTGAGTTGAGAGAAATTAGGTTTTTGCAGATAGGGAAGCTCAATTTGTCGAAACTCGGAAGCTCGTTTTCAATTAGTAAACTTATTATGTTAAAAATTATATTATATTATAATTATATTTAAATATTATTATTAGAAATCGAATTCGAATTTCCTAATTCAAATATCCCAATTCGAAATCGATAATTTCGATTTCAAAATTTTTATTTTTGAATTCGATCCGAATTCGACGAATTCGAAAACGAAATTACCGATTTCAGTTCCGAATTACCGAAATTTCGAATTCGAAATTCCGAATTCAATTCGAAATCGGTTTCGAAATCGAAATTTTTCGAGTTTGCACATCCCTAGTGGGAAGAGTTGGAATACAAAAAATGTCGAAGAGCAAGCGATGCGATAAGTAAAAACTGATTTTTTGTCGTTATATTTGTCGTACTAATTACTACAATTAGAATTTCAGCAAGAGCACCTTTTATTTTTCATTTACTTTTCAGCTTTCTAGAATTAAGTATTTTCTTCGTTACTGTTGTTTTCTAAATAATCTTCAATACAAGTGAAAATGCTTTAATCTGACTATGAGATATTAAAAAATAATAATAATTTATGGTACCCAAAAGAAAAGGATAAAATTTTATTATTTTTGCACGTTCACATTATTAATGGCCTAGTGCCAGTAACCAGCAGGGTACCCGTAACAGTGTGTATCCACGACAGAAAAATTATAATATCCTTAAACGAATTAACTAATTAGACTATAATATCCTTTACAAAGCAGATAAAATATTGTACCAAAAAACAAAAAATCAGTCGCTCCAATTTTGAGGAAAAATGTCGTGAAATCCAAATTTGTCATAATGCTCAATCTCTCTCAAGGAATCCTTAGATCTTCCAAGGAAAAACTAAATTAGTGGTATAATTTAACAAAAAAAAATGTCGCGGGCAGCTGAACGAAATTGAATAAATTTTCCTCCGAAAATATATGCCTCCCAGGATCTCTAAGTTCACCACCAAAAAATGTTTCTTCCTAAACTTCTCTGAGGATGGGCCAACCTTTTCTTAGGATGTCATTGATCTTTGGATGAATACGTTTTTGCAATCTTGGCGGACAAAGCTCTGCTGCATAACCATTTAATTTGGCTGCCAGACTTGATTTTTCCAGCTCTTCTTCAGGCAAGTTTCCCATTAGTTGAAGAAGAAATGGATTCCGTTTCAGCTCAAATTTCTGAAGATCACAAGTCAAAATTTTCATTAATGTTCCTTTCATTCTCATAAGTGCATAATGTGCCCAGTAAGAATATCGCAGAAGCCAGGAATAACTTCTAAACAAAACTAAGCAGAGGTCATCCTTCTGCACTCGTAAATTCTGCTGGACCACCTATTTCAGAATCTACAAGTTGCTACAGTGACTCCTTCCTATCCGTTCCGAATAGGAGCAAAACAAAGGAAAACCTGTACTTGTAACACCAATTTTGCTTTTGCGATTTATACAAGTTGATGAAAGACACTAACCTGATGATCAGGCTCTGCAGGATAGAATGTTCCCAATTGCTGAATTTGAGTGGTTACAATGCCACTCTTTGACCTTGTCTGCTCTCTTTCTTTACTTACAGAAGCCAATCTTGACTCTTCAGTTCCATTTGTGAAAACGATGGATCTGCTTGGAAAGTTTCAACTAAGAAAGCCAGCATTATGACATAGAAAATACAACTTCAATCCAGGTTACCAACAGTACCTGTACTGGTTACCCACATCAGGACCTTGCCCAAACACCTGCCTAGAATCGTGGCTGGTCCAGAAGACCTCCAAAAGTTGTTTAAAAGTAATTAACTTAGGATCATATTCAATCTGCACAGAATCGATTTCAATATATAAAACAAGTGTAGAAATAATTGAATGTCTATTAAAGAGCATGTTTTGGTAGTTGGTAATTGCAACAGTATCTGACTTGGGAGTAAAATTCCATTTTCTCTGTAGCGAGACTAGCATGTTATCTCAAAGTGTTCATAAACTTTCATATTGCTAAACTTTTAATTTGGATGTCTTTTATGCTATTGAGGCTATCATAGATTAGATTAGGCAAATGGTTTTCCACCTTTCAGCTAATTCAGGTCACAAGCAAAACTCTTGGCAGGATAAACATTACATTAGCTCCACAGTAGACTATAATAATGATCTGTTTCAAGGGCTTGAAACAGCTAACTATGTCAAGAACCCAAATCAAACGAGTGCCGACTTCATAACAAATTAAACTGCAACAATAGGTTTGTTACAAGCATTTAGTTCACAAAATGAAGTACCACTCTTCCACTCTCACTCAGTGCTGGTGGACAACTGAGAAATCCAGCTGAAAGGTAACAAGTGCAAACAAAGTTGATGGGATGACTGAAACCTATTGTTGCAAGTCCATTAGCAATAACCTCATGCACGGTCATGTTACAGAATCTCCAAGGCCTTCTCTAAGCAAACAGAACGATGACGGTCAAAAACTAAGTTGCATAGACTGGCTAAAAACAATTCAAGATCTTTACACTTGAATCCCCCAAACATAGGAAATACTTCCCAGTTTTTCTTGATTAAGACTCATTAGCAATAAAAGAAGTTGACTAATTCTCCATGATCTGCCTAGAATAACGATAGTTCATAGGAACAATCAATATTCACCATTTTCCTCTCCAAACTAATTTTGTTAATCATTTAAAAAAAAAAAAACACATCCCCAGTACTTATCTCCAATCACTCAACATTAGAGCCTTCTCAGGCTCAACAACCGAGTATGAGAATTAGCAATAAACAACTAAAAACAAAATCTTGATAAGTCCTCAAATTTCAAATTAGATCTAATTGTCCAACCTTTTACCAATTAGCAAAACCAAAAGACTTAAACCGGTAATAAAATGCAAATCAATAGGCTGAAGAAAGAAGGAACGTAGGAGGTGACCTGAACAGATTCAGCGTGATCACCTAAGCTCCGATACTCGGGATTGGTTTTGGATCCACCGGCATAGCCGACAGTCGTACGCACTACCCCATCCAAGCAGCCAAACACCGCCTCCGATCTCCAGAAGCTTCCTAGAGCAAAAACCGCTGTTTGCAGCTGTTGTTGATTGGCTGTGTCTGTAATTGAACCCTCCGATAACTGGGCGGAGAATCTGATGCCCACACATAGATCTGCTGCCAATACAATGATTATGGGTAAATAGCATGTAAGGCGCGTGGCCTCCTTCATTGGGCTGGGAGTTGAATCGTCGACGGCCAGGATAATCCGGTCGGGTCGCTGGAATTCTTTATAATGTTCGACGAAGTCGAGTCCGGTTTCTCCAAAATTCGGCTGGCTGTGATCGGGTCAATCCGATTCGTTCGATCCACAAGTCCATTATAAATATATTATCTCATTTTTCAATTTGTTGTGATTTCTCCAGTTAATGCACGAATTAATAATTCATGGTTTTCCAGTGGTATTTTTTTTTCCTTTCTCTTTTTTATGTTCAAGAGAAAATTACTAGTTACTTCACCCACCCAAAAAGTTGGGGAGAATGATATCTGCTTTCTGTCAAAAAGGATTTCTTAGGCTCCAGTTACGAATCACGACAGAAAGCCTATGCAAAACCCTAAACCCAAAGTCCAGCAGAAAGCTACCAAAAATTAATTAGCAGTAACTATATACCAGTAGATCCAGCACAAAGTTTCGAAAAAAAATTTTAAAAAATCGTAGACAAACGTAAAAATAGAAATGCACAATAAATTCTAAGAATTATAGCAAAAAAAAAAAGATGCATACAAGAGATTGAAATTTGTGAGATTAAAAGTAAATAAATAAATAAAAGGCGAGAAGAGAGAGATAAAATGAAGTAACCTTACCGGATAAAGAGGTAGAGAAATATATCCTCGTCGTTGGCTGCCGCCGGAAGATGCTGCGTTGCGGTTCAGCTTGGAGAACTGTCTTCACCTAGCGGCGAGGACAGGGAAAGTTAATAATGTGGCCGCGTACAAGTGAGATCCGCTATATCAAGTTCCGGACCTCTATTTACGATTTGACCCACCCATGCTTCCTAATCCTAATCTTTTCCTAACTTTTGACTGCCTGGGGCCTTGGGCCTTGGACTTTTACTTGGTTAGAGACCATTATGAATTACTAGTTACTACTTAAGCATGGGTGGACTAGTTACTAGTTACTACTAATTACTAGTAACTAGTTACTAGTTACTACTTTTGACTGCCTGGGGCCTTGGGCCTTGGACTTTTAAACAATTTTTCTACCGCATAAGATTTTCATTTAGCTCATTCTTCTACTTGTCAAATTATGCCTCTTCAATTCCCTTTTGTGTCAGCTGAATTTCCAAAAGCAGTATAACTATCCTAATTCCTTATCAGTGAGCAATAGCTCTAACAAATTCTTAAAATTTGACGGAATAACACGACCGATCTGATTAAAAAAAATCTTCTTTTAGTATAATATGAAGGAAGCCCATCTTTTCAAGTTCAATTTCGATTAGTTCAAGTAAATTACATATTTCATGCTGAGTAAGAGCAGTAAAATACCACTGATGTCCAAGAATATATCCAAAACTTTTCGATACGGGTTGGTAGCTGCTGTAACTACGTGAGACTGTTCGAAGGAATAGCTCTAACATAAAGTACCCAAAATGTATAAAACAGTCAATAACGATTACACAAAGATTCCCATACAAATTCAGCTCTCCATCTAAACTAACTGAAGAAGCGTAATGAAAAGCTGGGAAATTCAATCAGTTTAACAACTTGAACTGAAAATCAGAAACAATCTAACCTTAAAGACGGCAACTTTATATGGTTTGGAAGCTTGAATTATGCGCAAATGGCCGAGACTTTGAGAAGACAATTATTGGGTTTAGGGCTTTGAATTGAGAGTTTGATAATATTAACGAGAGAAGTTCTCTCTTCTTTCGAAAAACCGAGAAAGCAACTATTGATGAACGAGTGATAGCCTCGTGGGAATATAAAAGTCAATCCTTTGTTACCCGTGTTAATTAATGAACTGGGCGGGTTATTTGGGCCTGGTTTTTATCCATTTGG